CATAATGTAATAAATGATTTTCAAACACACTGTCACTGAAGACTTCCTTTAAAGGAGTCTCAAATAAATTTGTATTCCAAAAGGGATAATTTCTACTTCCAGGAGGAAAAGTTAATTTGAAACTAGAAAAAGATGAGATACTGGAAGGAATGTGAATAAATGTATAGATGTATTTAAAAATGTATATGTAAGCAGTAATGGAACACAGTGTGATTTTAAAATAAGGCAAGTTGGGGATGCTCATTAGTTCACTCGCTCTCTTTCTCTCTGAGAAGAAACAAATAAAAACCTAAACATAAATAAAAGGTGACACCTTAAAAGATACAAACATTAATATTTTCATATATATTAAAGAAAACTCTTAGCACTCAATAATAGCCACTTTCCTAACCTAAACACTAAAATAAACATAATACTTAATAATTAAATATTGGAATTTCATTTAAAAATCATTTATTAAATTCTATTAAAAGTAACTCTTCAGGCCAGCAGGTGGTGTGGTAGTTAAGGCACTGGATTCCCACATGGCAAACCACGGTTTGAGTCCTGAACCCAGCAGCCCGAAAATCATGCTGAGTGTGTGTGCATTCATGCCCAAGGTCCCAGCAGGAGAAGAGAAGAGAAGGGACTGAGGCAAGTCCATAGCCCCTGGGGCATAATCTACTTTCTCTCACTGTCTATCTTTCTCTCTCTCTCTCACATGCCCTATGGCAAAATCCTTAAAGAAGAAAACAGCTCTGGAGTAGCAGATGGTGCAGTGGTTACATCACTGGACTACCCATGACTGTTGGAGTCTCAGACCTGGTGGCTTGAAACCCATGTCAAACACATGTGCATGCGTGCCTAAATCCCCAAGAGGAACTCGGAGGAGAAAGGATTGCAATGTGGCCAGCCCCCTGCCCTCCCCCCCCGCCCCCGGTGATTTCTCACTTTCTGTCTCTCCCTGTTTCTATCATTCTCTCTGGTGAGCACACATGTCCTATAGCAAAAATCTCTCTTAAAAAAAAAAAAAAAGAAAGAAGCCCTTGTAACTATTGAAAAGAAAAATATTTCTCCTTTATAACTATGCTTATCTGCTTTAAACATTCAAGAAAACTGATCATTTGAATTAATAAAATAACCCAGTAAAGTTATTAGATAAAAATAAACTTACTGGCCTATATTCCCACAAAAACAGATAATATAATTGATTTTAAAAATAAAAATACTGCCAGCAAGTGGCATGGAGTTAAGGCAGCTGGATCTCACATGGCTGGTTCTTGTTCAAGTCCAGAAACTGGTGGCTTGAAAATCATGCTAGGCTGGGGGTATTCAAGTCCAGAAACTGGTGGCTTGAAAATCCTGCTAGGCTGGGGGCAAGCAGGTGGTGTAGTGGTTAAGGTGCCGGACTTCCACATGCCCAATCATGGTTCAAGTCCTGGACCTGGTGGCTTGAAACACACTAGACATGCATGCATGTGTACGTGCCCAAATTTCTGAGAGGATAATGGAGGGGAAGGGGTTGTGTGGCATGGCATGGCCATCCTCCCTGGTGGGTGATTTCTCACTTTCTCGCTCTCTGTCTCTTTCTTTCTGTCTAGTGAGTGCATGTGATGTATAACAAAAGTCTCTCAAAAAAAAAAAAGAAAAGAAAAGAAAGAAAAAAAAATCATGCTGGGTACATGCATGAACATGTGTGTATCCAAAATCCCTAGAGGAGAATGGAAGTGTACGATCGTGGCATGGCCGTTCCCCCTGTGGGATGATCTCTTACTTTCCTTCTATGTCTCTTTCTGGTGAGTGCATGTTTCCTACAGAAAAAAATAAGATAAAGAAATAAAAATATCACTGCAAATGGCAGGAAAAGAATAATGTTCTTATGAATAATTTTTTGAAATATGTGGAATTTTTATGAACAATTTTAGAAAGCTTTGATGTACTAAAAAGCTCCAAATTACTCAGATAAATGTCAATTGAGAGCAAGATTTCACTGTCATGAGTAAAGCATTTTCTGAGCTTATGTCAATTTAGCATTTAATTACATTTTAATCAAGATTCCCACAAGTTGTATTATAGATCTTTACAAGCAAGATCCAATCATTCATATAGGAGATAGCTATTGAGAGTTCCTGTGGATTATTTTCATTCTGAATTGTATCAATTGACTTTCATTAGAGTTAACTTAGGGAATGAAAAAAGCTACTAGCAATATGAAAAACTTTAATATTTGTCTTGGGGCTACATATTCCCCTAGCAGAGTGAAAATGTGTCAAATTAAAAGGAATAATCAAACAAGTTATTTGACATATCATAATAAATAACCAAGTAGAATGTGTGTGTGTTTGCGCAGGGGTATTCATGCCCAGATCAATAAGTTCTTTATCCTCATATGGACACAACTTATTCAATCCAAGTTCATGAGATGGGGAACTTCAAGTTTAAGGTGATGGACCAACATATACAAATCATTTTGCTCCACTCTTAATTCCACTAAAACAAATATAGAGAGATTCTTTTAAAATACATAAATCCATAAGGAGAGGGAAGAAGAAAGCAGTCACAGGAAAACTTTGGAAACTGAATTTAAAATTTAGGAATACTATTTTAGGAGACTCAGGAAAGTTTATTTCTAAGCCAGATGTGGAGAAAACTTGAGAATTGCCATTAAAACCTTCAAAATGAGTAGGCAAAATCAGTTACTTTTATAACAAAGAGAAAGGTTAAAGCAAAGTGGATGGATTAAAAGATTTGTGAAACAGATTACCACTCCCAATGTCCCTTATTCTATAGATGATAGATGATACCTAGGGCATATTTGAGGTTTATCCTCTGGAGACTATAAAAAAGATCTGATATGAGGGCAAATGACTTAGTTGTTTGCATGAGTACAGTACCCAAAAGTGAGGAATATATATATATATATATATACACACACACACACACACACACATTATGACTAATGACTGGCAAGTTTTCTTCCTTGATTAAGATCTAGAGTGCTGCAGAATTTTATCTTACATGAGGAAGGTTCAAGACATCTTACCTACTCAAGATATAAAGTTATTCACATTGAGATTTTCAAAATCACTCCAAGCAATGTATTAGCACTTACATTTGGTAAAGTCCACCTATATATGTGTTTAGTTTACGATCAACTCTTTGTACCGCACTCCTGCACATTAACAGGCAGCTAAGGATTATCTTCAATATGAAAATCAGAATTAAAAGAGCAGATAAAATAAACAGGAGAATGAGGTTATATAGGAAAAAGAAAATTTTGACATTCACATATGTACATAAATATAATTTTATACTTATATTTGCATACATATGAAAAGTCGACATGAACATTACTAGAAAAATAGATATTATATTCATTATACAAGAAAAGATAGAACATTCAAAAAACACAATAAGCTCTCACAAGTTAAAAGTATGATGGCATGTACATAAATATAATTTTATACTTATATTTGCATACATATGAAAAGTCGACATGAACATTACTAGAAAAATAGATATTATATTCATTATACAAGAAAAGATAGAACATTCAAAAAAACACAATAAGCTCTTAAAAGTTAAAAATATGATGGCAATAATATTCATTATAAAATGTGAAAAAATGTAATTGATCAGCTGTGACAGTGAGTCCAGAAATTGAAAAAATGAACAGCAAGAATGTAAGAGACTAAAGATGACTACTTAGTTTTGAGGCATTCACTGAAAATGCAGTCTAGGGCTGGTGCCATGGTCCAGTGGCTACGAGAGCTAGATTGCACCTGACCAATTGCGATTAGAGTGTCAGCTTTGGCAGCTTGAAAAACATGCCAGGGTATGTGTGTGTGTGCCCCAAATCCCAACAGGAGGAAAAAATGGGAGAGAAGAGATTAAGGGAGCTTTCTCACTCTCCTTTCCCCCTTTCCGTGACAACATGCACCTCTGGCATTTAAAAATTATTTAAAATCAACATATGTAAATTTAAACATAAATATACATATGTTTAGGGGGCATATTGAGAAGATTCAATATTTTAAAAAGGTCCAGAAAGAATGAATAGCAAAATGGAGAAAGAGTAATCAATGAAAAAAATTTTTTTTAATTATCAGAATTAAGGTACACAGATTACTAGATTAAAAATGCTCAAAAAGTGCACATCATCATGACTGATAATAGACTTCCAGGAAGGCACATCAGAATGAAATTTCACTACTTTGGGGAATAAAAGAAAATACCTGAATTTATTTGAACGAAAAACAATTGAAAGTAAATAAATCTGTAAACAAATAACATACAAGGAATGATTCCACATGCCTCTCAGCTTCTTGACAGTAGAGCAATGTCTTCAAAATTCTGAAAAAAAAAAAAATTCCCACAAAGATTACATGTTAGCCAAGTTAGGACAGGGGCCAGATGGTAAATAAATGCAGGTAAAACAAGAAGGAATATGAAAAGTAGAATATTGAAAATGAAAAAACAGCCACAGACAACCTGGCATCCGGCAAGACCATTTGCTTGAACTGGCACCCAGATGGAGTGGAAAGGGGACCAAGTTTGTCTTAATGTCTCAAGACACAAATCTGAAGTCTGAAGGTGAGTGAGGGAGGAGATGAGCCACAGGTCCTGCATTAGGCCCTGCAGTCACAGGTAGCCTGGTGTCTGGCAAGGCTGTTCGCTTGAACTGTTATCTGGATGGAGTGGGGAGGGGTGCACATTTGTCCTAAAGTCCCAAGACACAAACCTGAAGATGAGTGTGATTAAATGTAATATTTTAAAGAAGTATGATAATAATAAATAAAATTAAATTTGAAAAAGGAAAGAAAAAAACACAATGAAATCTGTGGAACATTGACAGAGAACTCTGGGTGTAGTGACTGTGTGCCAAGCCAGTGTGAGGTCACTGTTGGGACAGCCAATCCAGAATGGCGCGTTATTCCTTAAGAGGCGAGGACTTGGCAGTGTCATCACCATGGCTTTCAATGTTTGAATAGATCGAAGCCAGGCATGCCGGTGCCGTGGTAACACGATGCACTATGTTGCTGAAGGCACATGCCCCATGGGATGGTCTGCAGTTCACATGCTGAAGTCTTACTGTATGTGCAAGGTACGTGTGCACATGTGCTCATGATCTTAGCTGGCTGAGGCTGGGCTGGGTCATGACAGAAAGATCTATTCAGGTGTGCCTTTCTCTTTCTCTCTTTTATAAAAGAAAAAAAATAATGAAACTTAGAAAAAAATTTTGAGCAGTTAAAATTTCTACAGAATATGACCCAGAAAAGAAGGGTATGAGGGGAAAAAGAAGACAATTCATGGATTTCATTAAACAGAAAGTCTAACCTTAGAGAAAGGAGAAGGAAACTATGGCAAAATATATATATATATATACATATATATATATGTATATAATATATATATATATATATATTCTTGAGTTTACTGTATACTAGGCCTAGTACTAGCCAGCCTGTATTGCAGATTATAAAAATGTACTTGACATAATGTATGCAATAAACAGTTTGGTGACTATCAACTTCTAAGTGGTTAGTAAGCCTTAGTTTTCTTTTATATTTAAAATATGGATTGTTCCATTAGTTTCACCAAGGAGAAATATAATGCAATTCATAAATGACTGAATAAAATTGAAGTTTTAGAAAATTGAATTGTGGGGACCAGTAGGTCACATAGTGGTTAAGGTGCTAGAATCCCAAATGGCTCACCACAGTTTGAGCACCAGACCTGGTGACTTGAAAATCTTGCTGATGCATGTGCTTACATACCCAAAGTCCCAGGAGAGTGGAGCAGAAGGGATTGTGGCATGGTCATCCCTCATGGAAAACTCTCAGAAGAGTGCATGCATCCTATGGCAAAAATAAATAAATAAATAATATTGAACTGTGAACAATAATTAGCATCAGATCAAAAAAACCCTAGGCAAATAAAAAATATTAGCAATTTTTAACTTCAGGGAAAACAACTATAAAGGGAATATAAGAAGGGTGGAACAAAGGGTTTATAGGAGATAACCTTGAACCTCAATGTAAAGAATAAACAGAACTTCAATAGGCAGGGGAATAAGTACATGGCACCTTCTATAAAGAAAAGCAACCTACGGGACCAGCAATTAGCATATTGGCTATGTCTCTGGACTCCCACGTAGTCGACTGTGGTTTGAGTCCCAGACCCAGTGGCTTAAACTCATGCCGGGGGCATGTGCGTGTGTGCCCAAGATCCCAGGGGGAGAATAGAGGAGAAGGGATTGTGGCGTGGCCATCTCCCCTGGGGGGGTGATTTCCTGCTTTCTGTCTCTCTGTCTCTGTCTGTCTGGTGAGTGCATGTGCCCTATAGCAAAAATCTCTCAAAAAAAAAAAAAAAAAAAGAAAAGCAACCTAGTGTGGCTGAGATGTCCAAAATTTAAATGTAAAAAAACTCTCAAAAAAAAAAAAAAAAAAAAGGAAAAGCAACCTAGTGTGGCTGAGATGTCCACCAATGTCCACCAATGATCTGGATGGGAATATAAATATGAGCAGTAATTCTTCTCATTTCAAATAGATTATTATGAAGAAAAACTGTTAGCCTAGATTTGCCAAATATTCTAATGTTTCAAGAGTAGTAAAGCATTTGATTTTGTATGTGAAATATTGATTTTTAAATCTTGACAGCTAATAATGGTACATATAATAAATATGCACATACTGGGAAAAGTAAATGTTGGGTAAATAAACATGTATCTGTCACCAGAATGTGGCAACCATCAGTTTGCCATCTCTTAATAAATCATATATCTTAGAAGTGAGCATGAGACAGGGTAAGGAGTAAGTGAAGCCCAAGCTTTAGGGACCTTAAAATTCAATAAGAAGTGTAATACTCAAGAGCCCGTGGATATTTGCGAGAAGGGAAATGAGCTGATGAGTGCTAGGATAAAAATTGCATATTTTTCCTGACTAATTTTAAAAAATTATACTTTACCCTCAATAACAAAAGTTAAAGTTACAATATTTTACCTATTCTAGTTAAACACAATCTAGGAAAGCAAAGACTTTACAGTAATAGTAACTTAATTAGTGAAAGAAAATCTGTCCACTCATCTAAATACTGAGGATGTTAGCTACATTATTTGTGACTATACAAGTGAATAAGGATCCCTAGACTCTTGAAAACAGATCATAAAACTGATATAGAAAATTTTGGAATTAGAGACAGATATATAGAGAGAATCATATATATGATTTGTGTTTGTGTGCAGATTCCATGTCTACTGCTCACCAGCTGTGTGATGTAGAGAATTTTGCTAACCTATCTGGGTTTCCATATTCTCATTAACAAAGTATAAATAATATTTATTTCAATTTTATTAAGATTATTGACATCATATAGGCAATTTATGGTTTAGTGACTGGTTAGTAAATCAAAAATATTTTTCTTTCACTTATTATTTTATTTGTTGATTCTCTCTTTCTTAGTATACATAAGCCTTGTCAAAGGTTGTTTGGAGTATTTAAAATTGGGAAAAATAAACAGCTAAAATTGATTTTTAGAAGTAGACGGTTGAAGGAAGAATTTTTAGAGATTAAAATAAAAGATTCTTGAGAGAATTTCCTGCTTCAAAATAAGAGAAGAGTATTCGTGACTAACTTAATAATTGCAGTATTACCATAGCTCAGTATAAGTTGAAACACATCAGGCAGAAGTTGGAAATGAGGCTTGAGGCAGCTCACAAGTGAGAAAGATTGTAACTCATGGTTTAGAGAAAGAACTCATTAACAGTTTAAGGTGATAACAAAATGTATATGTTGTTTTTGATTCTTCTTTAACACTTTCTTGCTTTATATAGTGTATATTATATATTAAACACAGTCTGAGAATTTAAATCATGTGTGTTATTGTCTCTAAACAGCTTATTTTACTTCATTTTTAAAGAAGAGACTTGTTTGCAATTAATTCACAGATTATCTTTTTTATAATATCCATAAGTGAAATAATTCTAACTGCCAAGTCTGCAGTACAATCATCAAAACCACCAAGTTGAAAACAACTACCTCCAAAAGAAAAGGTGGAAAGTGCTAGTTTCTCTGTGACTTGTCTTGAAACATCAAACCTTTTTATTTCATTTATTTATTTTTTTTAGAGAGAGATTTTTCATGTAGGGTGCATGCATTCTCCAAAGAGACAGGGAGACAGAAAGTGAGAAAATAACCCCCCCGGGGCGGGGGTTGGGGGTGGGGGATGGCCATGCTGCAATCCCTCCTTCTTCATTCTCCTTTCAGGATTTTGGGTATGCATACATACATACCCTGTGCGAGTTTTAAGCCACCAGGTCTGGGACTTGAACCACAATCGACTACATGGGAGTCCAACAATATAACCATTATGCCATCTGTTGGTCCCAACATCAACCCTTTTTAAAGGAACCACAACAAAAAAGGGTTATTAACAACAGAGAATTTTCAAAGGAAACTTGTTTTGAAGTGATATCTTCTAGCTCTAAGGCCTAGCACCTGAAAAATGCATTGAAACAAGACTATAAAGTTATTTTTTGTCTTTTTTTTTCCACCCAAAAAGTCTTCTCCATTTTCAGAGTCACAAAGACTGAGAAGAACCTTATTTGGGAGGCAATATAATCACACTTGGTGACGCCTGGAATGCCAAAGCTAAGCAACTTAAGCCCTACTGTTATAATATGGACTCCTTACATAATTATTTTTTTGCTGAAATCTTCACTGGGAGAAAGTGAGTTGAAAACTTGAGATCCTCTTGAGATTGTTTCTCCTAATGCACCTCCCTTAAATAGTCCTTTCTTATTTACTGTACAACCTGATTTCCTACTGCCACTATCTCTTGAAGATGTTCTTCCTTATGATCAGCTTTGGCAATGAGCACCCTGAAGACTGATCAAATTAGAGATACACCCTCAGAATCAAGCTTTCTCTCTGATTTTACTGCCACACCCTGTCTCTAGATCATGTGTGATCCTATTTCTCTCCTAAAATGTAGGATGGGGCTTTACTCTGATATTCCATTACTGCTTAAAGCCTGGACCCACCAAAGCTGAAAGCAATTGCCTTCTGCTTTCTCTCTGAGGTTTCGTTAACTAAACTCATATTGCATGAAAGAAGACGAGAAAATCCAACACATCTGGACAGATTCTATTACAAACTATTATCTGTGTTCCAGGTCCATTCACCTATCGAAAAGAATCATTTACTCACCATTGTCTAAATCCATTCTTTCCTCCTAAAGATCTCTCACTCTAAAATTGCCTACATCCCCCATTTTCTTTCCTGTATAAGAAGGTATTTAAACCACAACCATCTGGCCCCCTTTTAAGTTCATAGTTTTTATGGCTTCTATATAGACAGATACGAATCAAAATAAAATCCACATGCCTATGATTAATCTGGCTATGCAGTGATTTTTGACAAAACTTCCAAAGGGGAGGACATTCTTTGCCTCTGCACTCTAAAGTGGGAGAGCTTGCTTATAGGATTACCAGAGACATTCTTCACAGAATTAGAAAAAGCAATCAAAAATTTTGTCAGGAAGCATTAAAGGCCCTTTATTATCAAAGCAGGACCATGCAAAAAGAGTGGAGTAGGAAGCATCTCAGTCTGTGACCCTAAAATATATTATACAACAGCATGGTAATGGCACAAAAACAGGCACATAGACCAGTGGAACAGAATAGAGAACCCAGAACTAACCCCCCAAATGTACAACCATTTTTGACAATGACACAAGTTAATCTAGTGGGAAAAAAGAAATCTCTTCAGCAAGTAGTGCTGGAAAAATTTTATATCCACAGGCAGAAAATTGAAACTGAACTTCTATCTATCACCATTAACAAAAAAACTAACTCAAAATAATCAAAGATCTAAAGATAAAACGTCAAATTATAAAACTACTGGTGGGAAACACAAGAAAAACTCTTGGAGACTTCTCTAGGAAGTCTCCCAAAGCACAGGCAATAGCTTCAAAAATAGACAATTAGGATTATATCAGGTTAAAAAGCTTCTGCATGGGACAAGAAGTTGGCATAATGGATATGCAACTGGACTTCCATATATCAGGTTAAAAAGCTTCTGCATGGGACAACAGTTGGCATAACGGATATGCAACTGGACTTCCATATAGTTGACTACAGTTCGAGTCCCAGACCTGGCAGTTTAAAACTCATACCAGATGCATATGCATGCATGCCCAAACTCCCAAGAGGATAATGGAAGAGAAGGTGTTGTGGTGTGGCGATTCCCCTTGGGAAGTGATTTCTTGCTTTTTGTTTCTCTATCTCTCTGGCAAGCACTCGTGCCCTATAGCAAAAATCTCTCTTTAAAAAAGGGAGAAAAAAAAAAAAAAAGCTTCTGCACAGCAAAAAGAAATCACTAGAGTGAAGAGACAGCCCTCATAATGGGAGAGCATTTTTGCAAACTATGCCTTAGATAAAGAACTGATGACCAGAATACTCAGAGAATTTGAGAAACTTGCACAAAAAGAAAAATCAATCCAATAAAAAATTGGGAGAATGAACAGAACATAGAACTTGCCAAGAAAGACATATGAAGAACCAAAAACCATATGGAAAAATGTTCAACATCTATTATCATACGGAAGATGCAGATAAAAACCACAATGAGATACCATCTAACCCCATCAGAATGGCTAAGATTAAAAACATAAAAAATGATAAGTGCTGGAGAGGCTAGTGAAAAGAGAATTCTCCTACACTGTTGGTGGGAATGTAAATTAGTACAGACACTGCAGAGAACAATATAGTTTCCACAAAAATCTACAAATAGAATTACCACACGATCCAGTAATTTGACTCCTGGGTATCTTCCCAAATAATAGGAATACACTCAGTTGGAAAAGTACTTACACATTCATGTTTATTGCAGCATTATTTGCAATTGCTAAAGCACAAAATTAACCTAAAAGTCCCAGAACAGATGAATGGATAAAGAAAGAATGGCACATGTACACTATAGAATACTACTCAGCCATAAAAAAGCAATAAGATCCTGGCATTTGATTGAAGGTGAACAAATATGGAAGATTTAATGCTGAGTGAAGCAAGCCAGATCATGAAAGAGAAACATCGTATACCCCTACTTAATGTATATTGGATGTCTGTATTCTATGGCAGAAATGGAAAGAAAATGTAAAGGCATGTAAAGCAACTATAGATAACAGAGACAATGCAGGGAAAGATGTACAATAGGGAGGTGGAAGGGAAGAAATCAAGGGGGAAAAGAGATGCAAAATTATTTAACAAGCACAAAAAGTGGGACATTATCTGGTGATAATACATATGGCAATATCTTTGACTGAACTATTACATAATGTACTCATGCTGGGAAAATCTATTTTGTATGCTGTAAAAATCTACAGTGACTACATGTAAAAAAATTACAAAATAAGACAAAGAAGATAAAAAGAAGAAATAAATGAAATTCAAAAGTACTACACATACAGAGACCACCAGGTGGCTTACTGGTTACAATGCTGGACTCTCACATATCCGACCATAGTTCGAGTCCTGGATCTGGGGCTTCAAACTCAAACCAGGCACGTGTGTGTGCGTGACTAAAATCTGAGAGTAGGGATTGCGGTATGGCCATCCTCCCTGAGGGGTGAGTTCTCACTTTCTGTCTCTCTATCCCTCCTTCTCTCTGTGAATGCACATGCCCAAAAGCAAAAAATCTCTCTACAAAAAAAAAAAAGAGAAAGAACTACACATACAAACACCTATACACACACATACAAACACACACACACACACACACACGCACACACACACATATACACACACCACCACCATCATCATTCTAGGGGCATGTAATGTGAAAGTAAATTTTATCTCAGCTCAAACGCCCAATTTTTCTACTTAGCATAATGTATAATAAGAAATCCTCATCAAAGATTTCACATTTAAAATATGAACAAGTCCCAAGTCAAGCCACTTATGGAAGGATATTTTCATTTGATACAGAGGTTTGATTAGCCTGGGTAACCTTCTTATGCAAGTTGTTAGTGGAATGCCTGAAAAGGCAGAGAGAGCTGACACTCTACTGAGCTGAGAGGACAAGTTTAATAAATAAATTTGTAGTGCTTACTGGTCAATGCCCCTGTGGCAGAATTCATTCCAACACTTGTTTTTTTTGTTTGTTTGTTTTGCTTTTTTTTGTTTTTTTTCTTTTTTTTTTTTCCCTACCTAGTAGCAAAATGGAAGGCATTTCACTATTGGAGGTTAAAAAAATTCTTCCAAACACAATTCAGTAATCATGAATGACCAAATTCTCATAATATGTAGCACTATTAAGTTTCTTATTTCTCTAGTCATTAGACTTCACAGGCATTATTAGCCTGGAATACATAATGTTTACTTATTACTGAAATACTGCTGTCATTGTTCCCTTTTCCATGGTAATTTATCTTTTCCTAAATTTGCTGGCTTTCTATTGTACTTGCTTTCTATGTTTTGTTCTTCATTTCACTTATTTTAGCTTTATCAACACCAAATACGGTGTATATTGAAAATAATATGAATTTTGGAATATATATTACTACAGTCAAATCCTAGTCACCTGATTTCCTAGCGCTATAACCTTGGGTAATTCCTAATAGTTATAGGGCCTTAGTTGTGGTTCATGTAAAATGGATGTAACTGTACTCAACTTAATTGAACTTTCTCAGAAATAAATGTGATGGGGGTGTACAAAGTGCTTAGCATAATGACTGACACAGAGCAAACTCTAATAAAAGTACTGGTAAAAGGAAGATAACCAGTACTTTTTTTTTTTTGAGAGAGAGATTTTTGCTAAAGGGCACATGCACTCCCCAGACAGACAAGAGAGACAGAAAGCGAGAAATCAACCCCCAGGAGGGATGGCCATGCCGCAATCTCTTCTCCTTCATTCTCTCAGGATCTTGGGCATGCATGCACACGCACCCGGTGTGAGTTTAAGCCACCGGGTCCAGGACTCGAACTGTGGGCGACTACGTGGGAGTCCAACGACATAGCCATTATGCTAACTGCTGGTCTTAACCAGTACTTTTCTAGTTTGCTGTGTGTCAGTCATTATGCTAAGCACTTTGTGAAAAGAAAGACCTTTTTACTATACAGACTAAAAAGGATACAAAGTAGGAACTCAGTAACTGTTGACTGATTAGTAGGTATGAGTACATTTTTGTTCAGTTTTGATCAAGTAATGTTTCCATTTAGGTTAAACATATTGTATTAACATCTCTATTATCAAATAACAATTTTTATATCAAATGATGTCGTCTCTGTGGAACTAAATATGGATAACTGATTATCTAATGTCCAATTAATATTTTGGGAAGAAGACATTACTACTGATGCAAGTCATGTAATTAATTAAAATACAGACTCAAGCAATCAGTGTCTCTTTTAAAAATAATTGTTTATTTAACTTTGTTATTTTTAAAGTTTTAATTTGATCAGAGAGAGACAGAGAGAAAGAGAAAGTGAGAAAGCAAGCTGACAGGTCCGAGACCCGGACCAGAGTAGGCCATGTGGGAGTCCAGTACCTTCACCACCACCCCACCTGCTGGCCTCATGATCAGTATCTTTTTAAACACTTTAAACTTTTCAGAATAATGTCCTTAGTGTCATGATAATTAACAATTAACTATATATTCTTTCTTCTATAGATTATTCTCCTGTCATATTTTTCAGCTAATGTCCAAATGCAAGAAGATTCAAGATATAAAATTAAACAACAAATTCATTTCAATAATACTAAAAGGAGCAAATGAACAGAAAAAATATATAAACCGTTCATTTCGAAACCAATAATTTAAATCACCAACCATTTACGGAAAAGCAAAAGAAACAAAATGAGTATGATCTTCGCATTTAAATTAACCTCTCTTTCAAGTGCAAATATACACATCAAATTCTAAAGAGCAAAAAGCTTATAGATAAACAAAATGATACATGTTCATTTATCTTTCTTGTTTAGTGGGCCAGTCAGCAATTATAAACTCTACCTTATCGCCCAAAAGGACTTCCATAGCATTTGGGCGAATGTTGGCTTCTACAGAGCTAAACAAAGTCTCTGGCCTTGACTGTTTCATGGCCTCTATATCGTTTTCTGTTTGTCATTTGGGCTCCAGTGATGCCAGAGAGTGGGAAAATTGGAGCTGTGCATCACACCAAGTGTGATGAGCTTGTGTCGCGTGGTGTGCTATTTCATCTGTTTGTCACTGTATCTTTGGAGCTGACATATTGGGGTGAGAATCTTTATGTATGCATGCAGAATTGAAATACTTACAGAGCTCCTTTTTTTTTCACATATATCTAAGCCACTTTATAACTTTTGATATGTTGGGTATATTCAGTCTACATCAGAAATAATTTTAAACAGTAGTATTTTTTTTTAAAAAAATCAGAATATTTCTTAATTATTTTTATCAATTACAGAACTGTAATCCAATGATCAAGGACAGAGTATACAGTGACTATCTGACAATTTTACCTTCAATAAAAGTTTCTTTCAATTTGTGCCCTCTGGGATACAAAATGCTTTAACAATATACTACAAAAACAAATTGGCATCAATAAGGCAACACTGAACACACAGAAAGCTCCAGAGCAGGGAACCAGCAGTTAGCGTAATGGCTATATCGCTGGACTCCCATGTAGTCGACTGCAGTTCGTGTCCCGGACCCAGTGGCTCAAAACTCACGCCGGGCGCGTGTGCGTGCGTGCCCAAGATCCCGAGAGGAGAATGGAAGAGAAGGGATTGTGGCGTGACCATCCTCCCTGGGGGGTGATTTCTCGCTTTCTGTCTCTATGTCTCTCTCTGTCTGTCTGGCGAGCGCACGCGCCCTACAGTGAAAATCTCTCAAAAAAAAAAAAAAAAAAAAAAGAAAGCTCCAGAGCAAACTGGCCAAAATCAAATGCACGGTTGGTTTGCAAAATGGCTATTTTGTTTTCTTCTCCACAGCGCTGAGAATAGATGCTTGTGTGGTGTGTGGATGTTGTGTGTGTGTGTGTGTGTGTGTGTGTGTGTGTATGTTTAAACTGTAATTAGGAATGGTACTTATGCTGGTATTCTAAAATCGAAGAGATTTCTCAGATCTTTGTAACATGCTTCCTTACACAATATAATATAGAAATAAACATATTTAAAGCTCATTAGATGGAAAACTGTTTATCTTCATATAAAATTACTCATAAATGTATTTGCCTTACAATTCTTGACTGGATCAATAGATCAAGATTCACTGGGTTCAAATCCCAGCTTCTACCTTACTAGTTGTGTGAAATTACAAAGTTGTTACTAGTTGTTGTAATGTCTTTCTGTCTCACACATAAATTAGACACAATAGAAATAAGTACCTGTAACGGTTTTTGTGAAGATTATATTAGCTAATACATTTGAAGTGCTTATAACAGTAGGATTCACATAGTAAGGTCTCACTAATTATTGGCTATTCTTTCATGAATTTATGGTTTTCTTCTACTAATAGACATTTCTCTTTTGTTAATTAACTCCATTTTGGTTTCTTTCTTTCTCTTTTTAAGAGATATTTTTGCCATAGGGTGTGTGCTCCTGCTAGAGAGACAGAGAGACAGAGACAGAAAGTGTCTCTGGAGGGATGGTCATGCTGCCATCTTCTCTATTCTCCTCTTGGGATCTTGAGCACACAAGTTCACATGCCCAGTATGAGTTTTAAGTTGTCAGATCTGGGACTCAAACCATGTTAGACTATGTAGGAGTCCAGTGACGTAACCATTATGCCATCTGCTGGTCTCCCATTTTGGTTTCTATAGGAGTTTCAAAACAAATTCTTTACAAATCTATAGGATGAGGTATTTTACATTATCTGTTTACAATCTAATTTGTTACAGAAAAAAGTTACATTATATTAAATATTCAATATTTTGCAGTCAAAAGTTTAGTATTATGCATATACATGTATTAGATATATTTTCCCTCAATCCACTAGGTTAGATGCTATTACACCTATTAACAACCTACCAGGAAACCTACCATGAGAAGATATAACAAATAATTTATCTGCAAATGTTGGTCTTTTCTAAATGCTAATGCTACTTGTTGTGTGCATAAAATTCTTTATATTCTAATTCTATTACATAAGATCCAACCAAGGAGACTGAAGAGTCATGTTTGATATGTATGTATGGAATTAAATTTATTTACATTAAGTGCTAAGTACCTTTAACTTTTTCTCAAAGTTTTTGATTTATAATTCTTTAATTACTTTTCTGACTTTTCTTGACCCTCTCCTATTTCTCTAAATCTCTTTTAAGGTGTGAAAACCCAAAGTAGATACAGTACTCTGGTAAAGGCATGACTAATGTGAATTCTAATAGCTGTTCCTATTTTGAGAAAAATTCTTTCCTTTATTATACCTCAACTCAATTTTTCTCTTCCCTAGGATATCTTAGCTTTCCTTTAAAATAGGAAAAAGTGATTTCCTACTTTTGCCATCTTACTCATACTTATCCTAATTTGCAGACAGATAGTTTCTAAGATCTGGGACAAAGTTTAATATCTAAGTGAGCTTTTCATAAAAGATATTTCAGCACACTAGTCCCTCAAGTTATTTTTTAGACATAGATTCTATGCACAAAGAAATTAAACCAACTATAGCTTCATCTTGAAGATTCCCAAGTAGATTAAGTAATAAGGATGCCTTATTATAGCAGTTCTCACTTTGTTAGTCATAGAAACGTCTGTCATAGCACCTATGAGCATCCATTATCATCTCTAGTAGGGGAACAGCTAACTATTGGTCTTATTTCCTCGCCCCTACTTCCTACCCTGCTGACATTAAAACTCAACGTTACGTGTCTGAGCACTGAATCAGATGCTTAGAGTTAAAGAAATGAATCATTGGCAAGATGTGCTTTGTTTCCTTATCTTTTATTATAATTTTCATACAGTCAATCATTACATATGATTACATCATGTAAAATGAATTTTTCTACCATGAATACACTATATATATTAGTCTATTAAAAGAACGGATAATACGTGTTGTCATCGACAGATAATTTTCCATTTTTTGTCCCTTAAATGTTTTCTTTCTTGCCTTTTCCCCTTGATTCCCTTTCTCTCACCATACCCTCTTTTCTCATCCTCTTTCTTTTATTATTATTTTTTTTTTGGAGAGGTTTTTGCTATAGGGTGTTTGCGCTCGCCAGACAGACAGAGAGAGACAGAGAGATAGAAAGCAAGAAATCACCCCCCAGGGGGGATGGCCATGCCGCAATCCCTTCTGCTCCATTCTCCTCTCAGGATCTTGGGTACACACGCACACGCACCCAGCGTGAGTTTAAGCCACCGGGTCCGAGACTCGAACCATGGTCAACTATGTGGAAGTCGAGTGACATAGCCATTACGCTAACTACTGGTCCCTTGTAATCCTCTTTCAACATTATTTCTAGTATTCACAGTTGCTCTCCATGATTTTAAACCTTCCAATCTTTCGGTTTCTGCCATACAGTGCAGACATGCAAAAATATCAGGAGAAAAGTGGGGACGTGCAACAATATCAGGAGAAAAGAAATAATAAAGATTCAAGGAGAAGTAAATGAAATGGAAAGTAAGTGAACTGCACAGAAAATAAATGAAGCCAACAGCTGATTCTTTGAGAAGATAAGCAAAATTGAGCAGTTAGCTAAACTAATTAAGAAGAATAGAGAAGGAATCAGATTAATTCTATTCATCAATGAAGAAGGAAATTACAACAGACATAACAGAAATACAAAAGATTATCAGAGGATACTGACTATACACCAACAAACAAGAAAACCTGGATGAGATGAGCAATTTATGGACACATATAATCTACCAAGACTGAATCAGGAAGACATAGAAAGCCTGAATGGAACAATAAGAAGCAATGAGATTGAATCAGTAAGAAATAGCGTCCCAACAAAGAATAGCTTAGGTTCTGATATCTTCACTTCGAAGTCTACAAGACTTTTTTAAAAAGAGGGGTTACCCCCATTCTACTCAAACTATTTCTAAAGATCCAAAAGGAAGGAACTCTCCCACATTTATTTTATGAAGCCTTCATCACTCTCCTTCCCCAAACAGATAAGTTATATTTTTATAATGTATGTAGTTAATATTAAATAGCTAATACACAAAGGAAAATTATATGGACCATAAGAATAGTGCAAATAAAGTGTTTAGAGACTTTATAAAGATTTTTTTAAGAGAGATTTTTGCTATACAGTGTGTGCGCTCATTAGAGAGACAGAAAGCAAGAAATTACTCCCCAAGGGAGATGGCCACACTGCAATCCCTTCTCCTCCATTATCTTCCTGAGATCTTAGACACACACACACGCACATGACCAGCATGAGTTTTAAGCTGCCAGGTCCAGGACTCGAACCGTGTCAACTCTGTGGAAGTACAGTGTTGTAACCATTGCACCATCTACTTGTCCTGAAAGATAATTTTTTCAGTAGCTTTTGGGAGAGATACTATTTCAACTAGGTCATAAAGGATGGGTAGAATTTGGACACATCATATTAAAATATTTAGGTTTGATAGTAGGCATTCTAAATAGAAAGGGAGAGAGACAAGAAAAGATATAAATACATTTTAACAGAAAATCCTAAAGAATAATGTCTTTATTAACTATTCATGAGTTTATACCAAAATTAAAGTAGATAAAAAGGAGAATTCTGCTTTAAGTAATAACATCAGACTGTATAACTTAGGCAACCACCCAACTCATATAATACGATGGGAAAAAATGTATAGATTATTCTTTCAAATTCCTGGTTTTAGTTCGGCACGTAATCATCTTGGAATTTGTCAATCTTGTACTCATAACAAGGAAAAATGCTAAAAA